ATACATCATTGGTTTTTGATGTGGTGATCCATGATCCATTGTTTTCGTATAATACCCAGTGCTCCATGCAGTACGTGCCCTCTTAATACCCATCATCGGGCTAACCAATCCCCCCTCCCCCCTCCCCTCTAAAACCCTGTTTGTTTCTCAGGTCCATAGTCTCTCATGGTTCATCTCTCCCTCCAATTCCCCCCAATAAATAAAATTCTTAAAAAAAAAGAAAACATGAACAAACTGAAAATCAATGACTTTTCTTGAACCCATCATAAAACCGAGGTTATCAACTCCCACCCCAAACTCTGGAGCATCAAGTGAATCCAAAGTCCCCAACTCCAGCTCCTTCTATCTTTCCCGTCTCAACAAAAACGGTACAGGAAGTGTAAAAATACCTGTGAAGGCCACGGCTTAAGGACACAGGCCCACTATAAGACAGATTTGATCAGAAGATTACAGACTGCTTCACCTGGCCCGCACATTACCACCATGTCAGCAGGGCTCCAGTGTAGCAGCTGCGGCTTACAGCTAGTAGAGTACAGGGCACTCTGGAGGAGTTTTTAACTGGAGCAAACATTAAACATGGTAGAACTAGACAGATTTACTTAAAACCTCACCTTTCAGCCTTTTACCTCAGTCCCTATTACCTGATATGTAATGTGGGCTTTCAATTAAAATTTACAAGGCATTCTAAGAGGGGGAAAAAAAAAAAAACAACAACAGTCTTAAGACATAACACAGATTTTGGAATTACCAGACAAGGAATTTATTTATTTATTTATTTATTTAAGATTTTTTTTTATTTATTCATTTGAGACAGAGAGATACAGAGAGAGAGAGCATGAGCAGGGGGAGTTGCAGAGGGAGAGAGAGAAGCTGGCTCTCTGCCAAGCAGGGAGCCGGATGTGGGACTCGATCCCAGGACCCTGGGATCATGACCTGAGCCGAAGGCAGATGCTTAACCATCTGAGCCACCCAGGAGCCCCACCAGACGAGGAATTTAAAATAGCTCTGATTAATATGATAAGGGCTCCAAAGGAAAAAGTAGGCGACATAAGGGTTGAGGAATTGGAAATCCTGTGTGATGCCTGCATTACTGTGAATCACTATCGTGTTATTTAGAAGTGGACTTAGATTAGTTGTAAACGTGTCTTGCGACTCTGGGGCAAGCATTAAAAAAAATATAGCCTTTAAAACAGTTTCGGTGAGGGCGCCTGAGTGGCTCAGTTGGTTGAGCGACTGCCTTCGGCTCAGGTCATGATCCTGGAGTCCCGGGATCGAGTCCCGCATCGGGCTCCCTGCTCGGCGAGGAGCCTGCTTCTCCCTCTGACCCTCCCCCTTCTCATGTGCTCTCTCTCATTCTCACTCTCTCAAATAAATAAATAAAATCTTAAAAAAAAAAAAAAAAACAGCTTCGGTGAACAGGAAGTACTACATGTTTTGCCATGTTGCTATTATACAATAGAGACAATGATAGTTCTTAACATATTGAGTAGTTTCATAGATTGTGTGTACTATTGGTTCTGTTTTTTGAAGAACTCTAATATACTTTGTCTTGACAGGTAAAGTTTCAGACCCACTTCCTTTTCCAACTCCTGGTGGTTTGTTGGCCTGCAGAAGTTTAAATCTTTGACCTTCCTCCCTTCCATTTACTACAGTAAAATTTATCTTAATGAAACTGATACATAAATAGCAATGTATCAATAATAAAATTATAGACTTCCATGGATTTTAAGAAATTTAAAATAATGAAGAATTTTTTATACAGTAAAGATAGCAACTGCCCCAATGTTAATTTTTATATTTTAAGGAAATACCCAAGTATTTTTAAAAAATATGGTCATGTTAGCCTTTGCCCCCATTTCCGATTCCTCCTGTATGACTGACCACCACTGCATGAGGTAGAAATGATTAGAAGGCCTATATTTTACATGTTCCATAAAGCATGCAGCTTTATTTTGCTATCTGTAGGTAACATAATACAAAAAAAAAAAAAAAAATCCGAATCTTTGGAAAAAATCATGCCTGTCTTTTTGTTAAATGATAAGTGAAACCTGGAGGAAAGATAAATTAGTGCCTCTGTTGGTCTTTCATCCCCAGAGATCTCACGAGTACCCAGGAGGTAGTGATGAGTACAGCTCTCAGTCCTCCAGCCCTCACGTCACACTTGTGCTCTCAGCTGTAGGGCTGTGCTCACAAGGGACGTTAATCTTCTTTTGAGTCTTCATCAGTTTCTTCCCTTTTTCATTTGCTCCTCTCCCTGCCCTGTACAACCTTCTTGATAGTGTCTGTTATTTCCACTGTCTCCATGGGATTTGCTTGCTGTTCCATAGTGTTAACTCCCTGTGTATTCCAAATCACTCCAATTTGTTTTTGATTTTAAATGAAAATCAAAATAGCTGTTTTTCAGATAAATACCTACGATGGCCCAGGATCTGTGCCTGGATCTACTGAATATTTTGAAAAATATATATGTTTTCTTCCCACTATTGAATACAAAAGGTAAGAGAAGAGCAACTCCTCTCTCCTCTCTAACTCTAGGGACTTTGCTTGGACCGGAGGGGCTTAAATCCTCAAACTCCCTCTATCCTATTTCATAGTGATTATAAGGTATTTTGGCAAGATGTTCATCATGCCTCCAGGTTAACTTAAAAATAAAGAAATAAAAAGTTATGAAGATTCTGGTGAAACTTGGTTTAGAGGAGGCTGTTCATCCATGGAGAGATGTTTCTTATGTAGAATTTTTTTTTTTTTTTTTTACATTCTGCTTCATATGTACTTTTTATTCCTGAGGCACAAAATGAAAGTGAGACCAGAGTCCAGGAAATACCTCCTTTACAGAAATATCAAGGGTTATCTCTGCTGTGGGTCAACGTAATTTCTGAACATTGTGTCATAAATAGAAGAGAATTTTTCAGCTTCATTAAGAAGTTGTACTGTGATGTTTCTGCAGGTTGATCTTGGTTCACAAGTGTCTTTTTTTGTGTGGCTGTGTGTGCGGGTTTGATCCAGCAGTCACAGAATGCTTTGGATACTCACAGAAGCCGAGTAGGGGAATCCTTTTATGAGACAACTAATGATTTCACATTCTTTTCCCTAGATTATAAGAAGACTTGTAAGAAATAAGCCACTGTAAATGTTTTTATTTTCAGTGCTCTAAGTCCCTCCAGTTAACCAGACCAGTGAGAGGAGAGCTTCGGGAGGGGACAGAGATAGGTATAAAAAGAGTGTCCTGCCTCACAGTCACTGTTGTACATATACTGGATGTTAAAGACATACTTGTTTTATTTCATATTCTCATGTTTAGTCATTTTTCTAAATCAGAACCATGCACTACAGTGGCTGATTCTGAAAGATAACTTTAATCCCAGCCCACAAATGACAGTCCATTCTCCCAGTCCAAGTTGGCATTTCACACTTGTTGCTCCCTAGTCCCACAGTATCTTCCCATATTGGAACCTATTTACCCAAGAACCATCAGTCTCCTGTCTGAAGACACACCTTTTATGAGGCCAAACAAGCTTTTAAGATACTAAAAATGAAAGTTCTTATTACGTGCTTCACCCAGAGTAATGAATGCCTTTTTCCAGACATTGGTATAACCAAAAAGACCTTCCAATAGAGCCATTGGAGGACAAAGGGAATCATTTTTTTTATTAAAACAACAATAATTTTAATATTCTCTTATTTCTTAGTATAATTAAATAAAAATGCAGGCAAAATTATTTCTTACATGTGCTTTCTGAGTCACTTCTAGTAGTAATTATCAGGAAAAAGATGGAAGTAAAATTTTATAGAAGAAAAGCGAGATGATTTTTCAGAGAGTAATAAGCAATAAAGTAGCTAAAGTCAGCTAAAAATATATTTTGGACTTCCACATCCAAATATCCTGTTCTTCATGAGAAAGTATATATGTGTGTATGATGAAGTCATGTCTGAGAGTCCTACATCAGAATGTTATTATATGACTTTTAATAGATGAAGTTGTAATTGTCAAAGGGTTTATGAAAAACACCTATTTACCAGTCCTCATTTTCAGTTCTCCTATATTAAGCTGAATATGTTAAATAAAGTTTAAATGAATTTCTTCCATTTCAAGCATCGATCTTACTTTTTGGATCTGACAGAAATAATAAAATAAAAACGCTTCAATACTTTGGTGAGTTCAATACTGTGGGGGAAAAGGCTCTCAAAATGCATAACATCTGCAGAAAATCTCAGTTAAAGGTGGAGCAGATGTTGAGATTTTTTTCAATAGAGTCAGTAAAGGAAAATCAACTAACAAGGACCTTTTATTATTAGTGTCTATAAAATACCATTTATGCTGCTTTACATTCCCTAAATTTAAGGATGCTTTTTTTAATGTTTATGGAACATAAAACCAAACTTCAAAATTGTGTGCCTATAACATGCTTTTCTTAACATTATCAGCTGTGGTAAATTCTTTGCCAGAAGGGTAACGATCCTTGTAACTTGGGATAGGACTGAATTTAGGGGCTGTATTAAGTCTGAAGTACGTTGGAATCTCCCCTAGACAAACATTGTGTATTATTTAAAAGTGGTTTATTAAAACCATTTGCATGTGCATATGAAAACTTTAAAAATAACTTATAAAACTTATGGCTTTAAACTTGGTAGCTAATTCTTTTTTTTTTTTTTAAGATTTTATTTATTTGACAGAGAGAGAGAGAGAGTGAGAACATGAGAGAGCACAAGCGGGGGGGAGGGGGTGGGAGAGGAAGAAGCAGGCTTCCCGCGGAGCAGGGAGCCCGATGCGGGACTCGATCCCAGGACCCTGGGATCATGACCTGAGCTGAAGGCAGACGCTTAACTGACTGAGCCACCAAGTCGCCCCTTGGTGGCTAACTCTCAATTAGTATTATTTAAAAATATTTACATATTTCAAACATTTCCAGCCTAGAAACTTCTACTTCAGACATCAATGGGCTTCCATGTTTCTGATCAACATTATTTTTTTAAGAGTTTATTTATTTATTTGAGAGAGAGAGAGAGCACAAGCAGGGGGAGTGGCAGGCAGAGGGAGAGGCAGTCTCCCTGTTGAGCAAGGAGCCCGATGCAGGACTTGATCCCAGGACCTTGTGATTGACCTGAGCCCAAGCAGACACTTAACCAACTGAGCCACCCAGGCATCACACTGATCAACATTATTGATAAGGCCACCAGGAAAAGCTGGAAAAAAAAAAAAAATACTTGTGTGTGTTAAGTCTTCAAAAAGTCTCCAAAGTAAAATGTATGAATTTCACTCTTAGAGCACATTCCACTTCAGCTGTGTTTCAAGTGCTTATTAGCCATATGTGAATGGTGGCTATTTTGAGACTGCACAAAGTTAAGGCATTGCCAATTCTAAAATTTCTGTAGAAAAGTCTGAGACCCTGAGCAGGAGGAAGTGGCTACACAGAGGCTAAGAACTGAGCAGAGGGTTGTCTTTCAGAAAGGCTTCATGTAGAAATACTTAGGGATAAAAAGAAAAAAAATGAGTTCAGGGTCGACCTAGGAGGAAGGCCTAATAAACACTTAGGGGTTTCAGTTGGAACTCCAAAAAGGCTACACTGAGGTATAAAAGTAAACAATAAATAGTCAAATTCTCTAAAAGTCCAGCTGCAAAACAGATCAATCTTTGATTGGATTAAGATAATACATCACTATTCTAAATGCATGCCAGAAATAAAGTAAAACTTTTCAGGCAGCAGGTTACATTAAATGGAGGTTTGATTTTTTTTTTTTTTTTAAGATTTTATTTATTTATTTGAGACAGAGAGAATGAGAGAGAGAGCACATGAGAGGGGAGAGGGTCAGAGGGAGAAGCAGGCTCCCTGCCAAGCAGAGAGTCCAATGTGGGACTCGATCCCGGGACTCCAGGATCATGACCTGAGCCGAAGGCAGTCGCCTAACCAACCGAGCCACCCAGGCGCCCTGGAGGTTTGATTTTAATTCTAAAATTTTTTAGATAAAATATCTTGCATTCAAGCAAAGATAATTTGGCTTTCAGAAGAGTGCACTAAAACTTCCAGCATACATAGAAAGATACAATAGATAAAGGTCAACTTATATGAAAGAAATATAGGAGCTATTAAAATTTAAATATAATGACTAATATGTTCAAAAATTAAGTGAAAAGACTGACAATTTCAGCAGAATGCTTAAATCTACAAAAATAAGATTTTTTTTTTACTTTTGTAGAGAAATCTAGAAACTAAAATTACACTATGGGAAAGCTTGTGACCAATAGGAAATTAATGATACATTAGACACTTCTGAAGAGAGAATTATGAATTGGAAAGTAGGTCAAAAAAGAATACCTAAACTGAAGTATATAGAGGAAAAAAATGTTGCAAAATATTTTTAAAAAATAGTACACAAGTTATATGAGAGATGATCACAAGATTTACAACAGGTGCATTTAGAGTCCTATAAAGTGAAGAGAAACTGGTTGGGGCAAGTATTATCTATAAAGATAACAGCTGAGAAGTTTCCAATGTTGCTGAAAGGAAACAAAAAACAATTTCAAGAGACTATATGTATTCCAAGCAGCACAAATTTAAAAAAAAAAACCTCACATGGTAATATAAGAGTAAAACTTCTAAAATGTGAAGATAAAGTAGAGAAAAAAAGATCAACCGTAACAAAAATAAAGAAGGAATGCCATGAGATAAAATACAGAGCAACATAAAAGTGAAGGTAGAATTCAATACACAATAATACACTTTAACAAGTAAAAATATTAAGATATTGGGGAAAAAAACAGAATTCATCACAATGAAACCAGGATTAAGGGAGTTCAGGGCAAAACAAAATTGTCCCAGCAGATAAGAGATAAGGAAGTAACAAAAAGTAAGAGGTAGGGTGAATATGTGGATAGAGCCAAACAAATTATACATTTATAAAAAATCATAATAATAATGTGTCATGGAATTTATAATGTACACAGGATTTTTTTTTAAAGATTTTATTTATTTATTTATTTGAGAGAGAGAGAGAGTGAGAGTGAGAGAGATCACAGAGGGAGAGGGAGAAACAGATTCCCTGCTGAGCAGGAAGCCCGACATGGCGCTTGATCCCAGGACCTTGAGACCATGACCTGAGCCAAAGGCAGCCACCTAACAAACTGAGCCACCCAGGCACCACTAAAATGTACCCAGAGGATTAGAAGACAATATGGCAGTAGAACAAAAGGCAGAAAAGGGAAAATATATTTAAAATCTTTTAAAATTCTGGCATATTCTGAAAGTGATTAAAAAATCCTAATTTATATGGATTTTAATAAGTGGGACAAATGTTTTAATCTTCAGTGTAATATTAAAAGAAGATTAAAAAATGTGTAGCTAACAAGCTAATGAGGATAAAAATGGAAAAATAAAATTAATTCATCCAAAAGAAGGCAAGAAATGACAGCTCAATATAAAATAGGTGAGGAAAATAGAAAACAGATGATAGATTTAACATTAAAATGTTAAATAGAAAACAAAAATGATAGATTTAAATTAATATATACAGAAATTATATTAAATCAGACTAAATATATCAATTAAATGACCAAGATCATCATTTATAAAATATACAAGCTATGTGTACCCTGATCTCGGACTTACCAGTCTTCAGAACAGTGCAAAATACATTTCGGTTGATTTTAAGCCACCCAATCTATGGTTATTTTGTTATAGCATACCGAATGGACTAAAACAATACCAATGGTTAATACCTGAAATAAAAGGTTCTTTGTCATCTAAAAATCAGTCAATACAATCCCACATTGTTTCAGTTATTCAAAATGAGTAAAACACTCAGAGCAGTACACCTTGTTTGTTTGTCTGATCCTTTTCAACAGTCACCTCTACTTTTGATGTAAATAAAACTACATAAAAAATTAAAGTGTTTGCTAACCCCTTAAAAAAAAAAAAGGAAAACAATATAATTATCACCATGGATCTGGACAGGAAATATATATACCCACTATGTATTCATAATGCAAAATCATAGTAAATAAGAAACAGAAGTTGTCTTAGGTTTCCAAGAAGGACCTAGTATCCCTGAGACAGAGACTCATATGCATATGCTTTTTTAGAAAATCCATTCTTCCAGAAAGTACTATAAAGGAGACAGAAATAAAGGCTAGGGAAAGGACTGAGCAAAAATGAGATATTTGGCTAAAGTTAATTTTAGTGTCATTAACGGGTAACTTCTGGAATATAAATAGCAAAACCAGTTTTCCTACCTTGAAACAAGATGGTTGGGCTTCAATCTTCATATTATTCAGTCATCTATCACCAAAGGGAGCATGACATCTTACATTTCTCTAGGCTAGGCAGCTTCCTTTAGCCAAAGGCAATGCTCTGCAGAAGATCACAATACTTAGTCATTGGCCCCAGCATTCATAGCAACAAAAAGGATATTTTGTCAATGCACTACGTAGTCTAAAAAAGGAATATCCTTAATGTAATAAAGTGTATCTAAAAAAAAAATAAAAACCTTTAGTAAACAGCATAATTAATGAGCAAATATTTTAAGTTTTTACTTTGGGATCAACGGTGCAACTTATCACCATATCTTTTATACTGTACAAGAATTCTTTAATGGTTAAACAAGGGCAAAAAAATAATTTTAATTTTCATTATAGTTGTAGAGCTGTATACATTTGAGAATGAATCATTTCCCCATTCAAATTCATACTGAAATATATCAACCTATTTTTACATTTTAGCCTTCTTGTTAAAACATGCTTTGCACATATAATAATAAATTGAACCACCAGATTGAAATGAATATTAGATTAAGCATAGATTTAGGCTCCAAATTTTTTACTAACTAAGCTGAAAGGAATTCTAAAAATATATAGAATTAAATTTCAAGTAATATCTGAGATTTCCCAGATCACTGAAAAAAGATATACTGGAGATTCTCAAATAAGAGAATCATTGACTAAATGAAATTTCAGGTTTCTTTTTCTAGTTATATGTGTAGCTATACATATGTAGGTGTGCATATATGTATATCCATATACACACATAACTGCATATCAAAAGAGATATAAGTATATACACACATACATATACACTTATAGAGAGAGTTGGTTGGATTTTGCTTCCAGTTATTTATCACAAAATTTATTAATAACACATGATACAAATACTCCAGTGGGGACAGTTTAAATAGAAGAAAACTGAAGAAGATACAATGAACTCCAACAGGAGTTTCCCATTGGCTGATGTAACAAATCACCAGAAACTTAATGGTTTAAACAACCCACATTTATTAGCTCACATTTCTGCAGATTGGAAGTCAGAAATCTGTTTCAAAGGGCTGAAATCAAGGCTGATGCAAGCTCATTGCTATAGAGGCTTTAGGGTCTAAATTATTTCCTTGCCTTCTCTAGCTTCTTGAGGCTGCCTGCATTCTCTGGCTCATGTCCCCTTCCTCTATCTTCAAATCCAGCAGCATAGCATCTTCTCCTCTCTCTGACCTCTGTTTCATTCTTACATCTCTCTCTCTCTATCCCTCTGCTCTCTGTTTCCATTATCATGTTACTTTCCAAGTGTGTCTGTGATCATCCTGCCTCCCTCTTACAAGGAACCTTGTGATTACATTGATCTCACTTAGATAACATAGGATTATCCCCCTATCTCAAAATTCTTAATCACATTCACAAAGTCCTTTGGCAATATGTAACTTACTCATAAGTTTGAGGATTAGGACATAAATATTGTTAAAAGGCTGTTATTTAATCAACCCCTGCCATATTATAAATATATCCAAAAAATGTAAAATCTGAGAGAGATACAATTAAGCATCAGTCCTACGAGAAAAAAGTAACTTTCAAATGATGATGGAAGAAATGAATTCCCTGAGAAATGATGTATTTTCTATGCAAACTCTTAGTTAACTTGATGTCAATTTGCTTTGAATGATGGAAAACTTTATAGTGGTTTTTCTGCACTCATGATGAAAAAATCCAAATAAATTCCAAAATTAAGATATGAAATTCAATTAAACTGGTTAGGGGAATTAAAAATGTGTAACATCTGTAGATTCAGTATAAGTCCAGTCAATATCCCAGCAGATAATTTTGTGGATATCAACAAATTGATGTAAAGATTATATAGAAAGACAAAAGTTCCAGAAGAGCAAATACATTACTGAGGTAGAATAAAGTCTGAGAACTGACACCGCCTGACTTTATGACTTACTATAAAAGCAACAGTAATCAAGACAGTGTGGTACTAGCAAAAGAAGGGACAAAGAGATTAATGGATAAGAGCCCAGAAACAGACCCACACAAATACAATCGACTGATCTTTGGCAAAGATGCAAAGCCAACACAATGAAGAAAGGATAGTCTTCAAAAATAGTGCTGAACAACAGGATATCCACATGTAAAAAAAAAAAAAAACAACCCAAAAATGAGGTTTCACAAAAATTAACTTAAAATGAATTATAGACGTTAATATAAAATGCAAAACTATAACATTCCTAGCAGACAACATAGGAGAAAATCTAGAGCTTGGCAACAATGTTTTATATGCAACCAAAAGCATCACTCATGAAAGAAAAAAATCGATAAGCTGGACTTTATTAAAATTAAAAACTTCGCAGTTGAAGACGCCATTAAGAGAATGAAAGACAAGCCACACCCTGAGAGAAAATATTTACAAAAAACATATATGATAAAGGACTACTGTCCAAAACAATGTAGAAAACACTTAAAACTCAAAAATAAGAAAACAACTTGGTTAAAAAATGGGCGTAAGACCTGAACAGACACCTCACCAAAAAAGATATACAGATGGCAGATAAACATATGGAAAGATGATCCACATCATAAGTCACCAGGGAAATGAAATTTAAAACCATGAATAGCACTACACACCGATGAGAAGGGCCAAAAGCCAAAACACTGACAGCACCTAACGCAGAGGAGATGTAGCAACAGGAATTCATCGCTGGTGGGAAGATGAAAATGTTACAGCCACTTTGTAAGACAGGTTGGCGATTTTGTATAAATCTAAACCTACCTATGGCATTGTCTTTTTGGTTTTCCAGGGCTAATGCCAATGTATGTGATTAAGTCCTTCCTGCTTCCTTTGGGACAACGGCTAATTATTTTATCTTCTCTGTTAAATTTTAATTTTCTCTTCAACCACCATTTCCTTCCCTAGTATTCTTCAACACTCGCAGATGTGTGTCCTGGAGTTTCTTCTTCACATTCTACTTACTGGACACTTTCTTGTCAATGCCCACATGTCCCTTCAAATTCAGCATGTATTAAACAAGATAAACACCTTTCCGTCAAAGGGAATGGCTCTATCTCAATTCCCTATTTATATACTATTAGATATCCTCAAGTTAGACATTGCCAAATAAAGTTGAATTTACCCTGGTCTTCTCTACAACTAGCCAATCAGAACATTTAGTTTACTGTTTTTCAGGATGTCTCTCAGTCAATTTTTTCCCAATTCTCACTGTCATTGTCTTGCCTATTAACTCATCACTCTGCCCGGATTGCTGAAATGGTTCTCTGAATGCTCTTCTGACTTTCAACCTTCCCGTTACAATCTGTATGCCAGAGAGCATTTAGATCAGTCTTTGACACCTGGTTAGTGTAACAAGGCTTCTTAAGTTTTATCAACGTCCCATCCTTTACGCGGTCTTAGAGATCAATTGAATCCAATTTTTCCCAAACATGCCAAGTGTATTCCCAAAGCTAATATGCGATTTATGCCATTTTTATTAGGAAATGCCCACCCTACTCTTCCCCCTTCACCTCGCGCCGTGAGTTCTGGAGGAAGCCCAGGGGCGGCGGGAAGGAGACGGGAGCTGCGCACTCCCGACCGAAGGGAGGAGGGTAGGGAGGAAGAGCCCCCCCGCCGCGGCTGGAGGGGCTGAGCGCACGCGCGGGAGGCCGCCGCCGCCGCCGCCGCCGCCGCCGCCGCCGCCGCCGCCGCCGCCGCCGCCGCCGCCGCCGCCGCCGCCGCCGCCGCCGCCGCCGCCGCCGCCGCCGCCGCCGCCGCCGCCGCCGCCGCCGCCGCCGCCGCCGCCGCCGCCGCCGCCGCCGCCGCCGCCGCCGCCGCCGCCGCCGCCGCCGCCGCCGCCGCCGCCGCCGCCGCCGCCGCCGGCTCAGCCTCTCTGGGCTCTGCCCGCCCTGCGTCCGCCCGCGCCGCTTGCGCTCCTCCGCGCACTGGCCAAATGCTTACCCTACTTTTAACGAACTCCAAGTATGAGAAAAGTATAAAGTGCTCTTTGGTCGACTCGAACTTCAGATGACCTATTTTTATTGCCCACATTTAACTTTCTTTTTCAATCAACAGGTAGGTTTTTCTCCCTCCCTTAATTCAGTTCTCCAGATTTTGTTATTCCTGTTACCCTTGGTTGCAAACCCTTTCATGAACATGTCTTCATCCTGAATGCGTGTTGACATAACCTAAGCTTCAGATACATATTTCCTTTAGACGTATTTTTTTATATTCTAATTTTGCAACTTAATCTAAAATATACAGATTAGGCAGTTGATTTCAGCCTTTTTTAAGTCAGACAAATGGAAGATTTTGGCGGAAGAAATCAGTAATTTAACACACTTTTAAAAATATAACAGTTTTAAAAAGCAAAATTATATTTTCAGTCAAGTGAAAATTGTGCAGCTAACCTACATGTTAAAAAATGAGAGATGCCTCACATTATAAAGAGCATTTTACTCTGCAGATGGATAAAAATTGCTGTGAACTTTTATGCATTATAGCAGTTCCTTTTTGAAATGATGAGGAACTTCCTTTAGAAGTTAATATTTAACTGATGTGCATTCTGTTTGAAAAGTTTTTGATTATAGCTAAAGGAGTATGCATTGTAGCTTACGACAAATGGTATTGCTTCCTAAGACAACATAGCTGCCCAGAAATGTCAATTCTGAAAAAAAGGATAATCTTAGCTAATACTTAGGAATAATGTCTTTCAAGCATGAAATTTCTTTAAGTCTCATGCTTTGTCATAGCAAATAGGGGTAGGGCAAATGCATTTATCTTAATAATATTTAAATGGGCAAATAATTTTGTAAATATTTACCTAAACAACATAAGGATTATTATCATTAAATACTATTTAACATGGGATTAAAATCATCTAAATCAATATTACCCTTACACCCACTCACCTATGTACTAATAAGAGCTGAATTTTCAGCGGGGTGGCATAGTCTAGAGATGGCAGAGCTTGGTAGAGCTTATATTTAAGTGGGTAAAACATAGGGATGTGGGAGGGTTGGAAGACAATGTTCCCTTCATGAAATGTGTCAGGAAGGCAAAAGAGATTGAGGCATCAAGATTTCCTTTAAGAGTAGAAGCATGACTAAGCTCTGAGGGAGAAAGTGAGAAGATAGGAAGAAACTCAGTAGGAATAAAGGATTTGGAATGAAGCATGAGGACTATTTATTGTGCGCTGCATGCTAAATACTGAGCTTTGCGTTTTGCAGAAGTTATTTTAGTTATGTTAGTCAGCAATGCAAAGATTTATTTATTCATGTTCATATTTAAATATTAAGCTCCCACAGAAAAAATGATAGATGATGGATATGCAACTTAGTACTGTTCAGTTTCAAAGATAATCTTCTTATTTTACTGGCTCCCTAATTTTGACAATTAGGGTATGAAAATTAGGATTTTGTCATGGGCATAGGTAAAGGCGTGTCCGTGGTGGGTAAGTGTGCTATCAGTGAGTAAGATTTTGGAAGAGAACAAGCAGTAAAGCAGGGTTGCTGCTTAAGCCATTCAGTTGCTGTGCTAAAACTCTGTGTCCTCAAACTGAGTTTCAGATAAGACTGGTCTCATTTTGGGGAGTGACTGATCACTGTATGTGAAACTAATATCAATCCCACCTTTTACCAGCTCTTTCTTGGTAAATAGATGGTCTTTTATTCTCCAGTTTTCTGAGTCATTTAAAAAAACACAACACAAACCTTATTTGAATGTAACACAAAAGAGTACATTTCTTTAATATGTAAGTAGATCCAAATTATATTAACCAATGTAAACTTAAATCCTAATTGTGTCATCTGAGTTAATAGCAATTTTTGTTTGTAATATTTTTCTAGGTTGATTTTTTTTTTTTTTTCCTCTTTTCTACTAGTAACTTGAGTGTTATAAGGTGGAAACCCTTACATCCGCAGTGGTGTTTAAAACTATCCAGTGACTCTCACGCCCAAAGATATCATAACATTAATTCAGTTACACTTCTTCCTAACTCATATACTTTCTATCCAATTTATGATAATTTTGCTAGTAAGAATTACAATTTTCCCCAACTCATTACAGTAATCTTACTATTTTCATGTTTATTATTTATAGATTTATTTGCATCATTTTATAGCTGTAGTCCCCATTATTATATCACGTGTTCTAACTTTGAAAGGCATCCAGTATTCACTACCTGCTCATTTATGCTATATGCTGTATTTCCTCATTAACATGTCCTTATTTTGATTTATCTTTTAATTATAATATTTCTTTATTTGGTCATAATTCTCCAGGTCTCAAAATTTTGACCATGTCATTTTGCTGCTTTCATACTCTAATGACTTATGTCATGCTTTATTTATTTATTAAAAAAAAAAAAAGAATATTGGTCTTTTTACACTAACTTCTGGTGGAAAAAAGATCTTTGCTGGGAGAAGTTTGAGGTCAGTTATTTTAATTATGGATGATTTTTTTGGTTTTGTTTTTAACCAAGATATCTTAAGAATTTTTGTCATTATCATTAATTTTTCCACAGTAAGTCTAGTATAATTAGGAATTATAAGAATTATAGTTTTGGGCGCCTGCGTGGCTCAGTTGGTTAAGCGACTGCCTTCGGCTCAGGTCATGATCCTGGAGTCCCGGGATCGAGTCCCGCATTGGGCTACCTGCTCAGCAGGGAGTCTGCTTCTCCCTCTCCTGCTCCCCGCTCTTGTGCTCTTTCTCTCTCTCACTCTCTCTCTCAAATAAATACAAAATCTTAAAAAAAAAAAAAGAATTATAGTTTTTAATTGAAAATGGCATCCTTATTTTATTTGCAAATGCATTTTTCATTCCATTTCTGGGATTTGTGATTTTATTATTTATATATTTGATTAAAAAAACACATTGTATGTGTTCAATTTTTACTTTCAGTCCTCTATGTTGATGAGGTTTTCTCTTAGCTATTTCATCTTTTTTTTTTTTTTTTCCCTCTGTACTCTGCAATATTCTCAAGTTTCATTTTTGCCTTTTTTTAGGTCATATTAAATATTCAGTTGTGGTTTTGGGTGTGTATGTATGTGTTCTTTGTTTCTAATTTAGGTAAAGATTTTGTGAACCTTTCATTGCTTATAAGGATCATTATGGTTTAGGTAAAAATTTGTAGCATCTTCTGTTATGTGTCAGGAATAACATCATTTGCATATATTAAAATGATGAAATTTCTTGATTAAATCATTTTCCCTCATAACCTTTCACCTCTTAAACAAGCTTCTTAAACCAAAAGATTTATTGCCAGAGGCAGTAGAGGGTCTCTTTACCAAGGCAATATCTACTCCATGGTAGATAATTCTATTGAGTTTTACATATAGCAGCACTATACAGTAGAACTTTCTTTTTTTTTTAAGATTTTACTTATTTTATGATAGAGAGAGAGAGAAAGCACAAGCTAGGGGGAGGGACAGAGGGAGAGGCAGAAGCAGGCTCTCCGCTGAGCAGGGTGCCTGGGGCTTCATCCCGGGATCCTGGAATCATGGCCTGAGCCGAAGGCAGACACTTAACAGATGGAGCCACCCAGGTGTCCTACAGTAGAACTTTCTACATTGATAGGAATATTCTATATCTGCACCATCCAATATGTTAATCACGTGGCTACTGAACACTTAAAATGTTACTAGTGCAACTAAAGAACTAACTTTGATTTTCATTATTTTAAGTAGTCACACATGGCTAGTGATCATTAAACTATATTGGAGAAGACAAAATTGTATACAGAAGGTTTTGCTGTCTATTGTTACGGCTTTGGCATAAACTGTCGTCACACAGAAGGTTAATAGGACATTAAGAAATAAAAGAAAGGATTATTAATTCTGAAACCAAGGACTTTTTGAAGGAAGAAGAAGAAAATATAGATAAAAGCCACTTGAATATTTCATAAATTTCCCTCTCTAGATTTGACCTGGAGAGAGATGTGTATTACCTAAGTATGGGGAACATTGGTAGAACAATTTTCTGTACTGAATCTAATAAGTATAATCCTTCAATCTCATCATCTGCAGATCATCCAGTGATAAAATCATAACAAAATAATCTTGTCATATTCCATCTGTGATTGTCCAAAATCTCTTAATAATGGCTTTTGGAAAGCAGGTAACTTGAAAGTTTCAGACATGACCTGGGCTCAAAGTAAAAGGTGATGTGAACTTTGAGTTGAGACTGGAGGTGATCCGCCTCAGTGAAGGATTCTGTTTAGGAAACTGATAGCACTTCTACTTACCGCTACTGATACTTTATTTATTTATTTATTTATTTATTTATTTATTTATTTATTTATTTATTTATTTATTTATTTTATTTTATTTTTTCCAGCATGGTAAGTGTATGCTTTAATCCCCATCACCTATTTCACCCATCCCACCACCCACCTCCCCTCTGATAATCATCAGTTTATTCTCTGTGGTTAGGAGTCTGTTTCTTGGTTCTTTCTCTTTCTTTCCATTGCTTGTTTGTTTCTTAAATTCCATATGAGTGAGATCATATGGATCATATGGTATTTTCTCTAACTGACTTATTTCACTTAGAATTATACTCTCTAGCATCATCCATATCATTGCACATAGAAAAATTTCATTCTTTTTTGTGGCTGAATAATATTCCACTGTAGATATATATACGGCATCTTCTTTTAATATATTTTATTTTATTATGTTATGCTAGTCACCATACA